GTGTGTGTGTTTGTGTCTGACTGTGTTGTGTGTGTGTGTGTCTGACTGTGTGTGTGTGTTTGTGTCTGACTGTGTTTGTCTGTGTGTGTGTGTTTGTGTCTGACTGTGTGTGTGTTTGTGTCTGACTGTTTGTGTGTGTGTGTATTTAGAAGGTGGGGCGGGGGGGAAGGGTTGGGTGGGGGTGGCGCGGGCGGAGGGGGGTGCCTGAGTTTTGTCCTGCCTAGGGCAGCACAAAACCAGGATACACCACTGTATATGTCTATATATCATATATATATATATATATATATATATATATATATACACACATATATAATTTTTTTTTTTTTTATTAACTTTAACTTTAATTTTTTTTAATGATTTTACACTTGCAGGGAGATTGCCTGTCAGCACAGACAGTCCCCCTGCAGGCAGACACATGGACACCTATTGTGACCATGTGATCGCTGTGTTTAGCGATCACATGGCCCCAGGGGTCCTAATATGCCGCGGGGAGACTGTCTGGGCTGCAGGCAGTCTCCCCACAACGGGAGCAACGCCGATCGCCGCCGGGGGAATGACGGCGATCGGGTAAGTACATTAGACCATTAGGACGGTTCAGGACCGTCGGCAATGCAAAAATGCCGATGACGGTCAAAAAAATTGATATACCCTATAATGTTAAAGTCACCATTTGAAAGCCCCCTTAGAAAGGGTTAAAAGTTACCTTTTCCCGAGCACTTGGTGGGTCCGCTGCTGTTGGCCCTGGTAACGATCCGCCTTTTTCGCTGACATCAGAATTGATGTGTTTAGCCAATCCAATGCATGAGATCGCCAAGGAGGTGGGGCCAAACACCGGCCAGGCCAATCAGCATCTCCTCATAAAGATGCATGGAATCAATGCATCTCTATGAGGAAAGTTCAGAGGCTCCCAGGAAGCATCTCTAGCACCCATCTGAGGAGTGGCCAGTGGAGTAATAACTAGGCTTTAATGTAAACACTGCATTTTCTCTGAAAAGACAGTGTTTGTCTGAAAATGCCTGCAGGTACTGTGTATACTCACCAGAACAACTACAATGAGCTGAGGTTGTTCTGGTGACTATAGTGTCCCTTTAAGATCTGGCATTTCTAGTTCAATGTGTTGGTCATTGCAAATGAAGGGTTAATAACAGAAATGTATTTACACTAAAATAACCTTGCAGGGTGTGGCAGTAAATGCTATGGGCAGTTTCAGCGATATAAATAAAATCCGTTTGTGATTAAATTCAGGATTCTGATTATAACGTTAAAACTGGATATACAGCTTCCAGTGGATTTATTGTTGTATTTTTGTTTAATATCACTAATCTTTAGGTAAGGGAGGGGGTAGAGGGTGGGGGGTCAGGTCTGCTAATGTAGGTAAACAGTCAGCCAGTTGCTACTAGTTGGTTTTAAACAAAGTTCCACCCTTTTGAATTGTGAAGTTTTTTTTTCCCTCCCTTTCCTTATATGGTCAATATGGACAGCACTTCCTCCTGTGATGACATCACTGGTTTATTTTGTTACAAAACATAAAGAACCTCCCAGCAACAGTGTGGCATCAGAAAACCTTTGCCTCTCAAACATTGTAAAACACATCACACTTCTCAAGGAAAAGTGGGCAATATTGTTGAGGGTCACTGGAAAGTACAATGTGATAGAAAGTAGTAGGTAGTAACGGTGTAGCGCTTATGTGCAGAATTGAATAAAAAAGTTTACCCAATTTTTCTTCTATATTAATCAGTTATTCTTTGTTGACCTTAAGGTAAAAAAATGGAAAAAATACATAACATAGTGCAGATTGTATGTAAATAGGTGGAAATAATTTTAAAGTAAGGGCCAAGTGGCAACTCACAATTTTCTGAGCTATAAATCTAGCTCAGAATTAGGTGCTTTAGGATCCGTATAGGCGACCCTCTCCCTTCTTCTCCTTTCTTTGGTCCAGTCCTATATGGATACAGGAGGGGGTATATAGTGTAGTATAGTTGGTATTTATTATGAGAATTTTAAAATAGTAAATTTGGTACTCACAAACCCAGAGCCAGTCTATAGGATCACTTCAATGCGCATATGTGGTTTAAGGACCACACTCCTTCTTTCAATTAGCAGGAAAAAGCCATAAGTGTATTAAAAAATATATCTCATTTATTGACTATAAAATTGTAACACATTATAAAAATATATATATATATATCGAAAAAATAAATAAATAAATAAAACACTTATATGGCTGAAATAAAGTCCAATAAAGTCCAAAATGAAGTTTTTCAGTGCTCACTTCGCTTTCCAGAACGCGTTTCGCCAGGTGGCTTCTTCAGCTGGTTAAATTCTGTGATATTCTCCTGGACCTCTTCTCCTGCTTTAAATACCCTTCTTCGTTTGTAGAAACAGCTGTTAATGCTTGGATTTTCGCGGGTATTCTCCATGGTAACGGAGATACCCTGCGTTCCAAGCCTCATTCTGGTTTCTGTTTCCTCTTTCTCAGCCGATACGTCACTTCCGGTTTCGGCAGTTTTCATAGCCATGCGTTCCACAGTGCGTTCCACTGTGGTTATTGCACTCCGGTCTGTTTTCTCTCCGTTATAGGTGTTAAAAATAGATTTAAAGGACATGTAAACAGTTGTTATACTTCTAAATTGGTACATTCTGTTCACATTCAATTCATATTGTACGGACAATTTGCTATTCTCCTTATACAAAGAATTATTTGTGGGTAATACTTGGCTTTATATATCTTTTGTAATTACTAATGTAGTCTTACATTAGACATTAGTAAGACAATACAATGATCATTGCAGAGGAATAAAACTTCAAGGGTGAGAGCTAAAAAGTATCTATTATTGTAGAGAATTGTAATTTAAAGAGTAAAAAATAGAAAAAAGTTACCCTGGTTGAAATTGATATAAAATCAATATAAAAGACATTGTACAGACTGGGGTTGAATAAAAACCAATTATTATATAGAATATGGAATATATATCTATCTGAAAGACGTTTTATTTCTATTTTTAGTATAGAATCTTAGTTTAGTGTACAATAGATTAAAACTTTATTTAAACCTTTATTTTTAAAAAACCCTTATTTTAAAGTTTAGAGGAGGAAATGGCACATTTCGAAGTCTGCATTTAGACCATTTGGAATCAGACTATTTAGTTTGAATATCCATTCCATTTCTATCTTACTTAATTTTTGATTGAAATCTCCTCCTCTCCAATCTTTAGTTACTTTCTTAATTCCCAAAAATATAGTTCCTTGTAATTCGCAGTCATGATGGTTTTTATAATGTAGAGACACACTATGTTTCTCGAATCCTTTACTTATATTACGGCCATGTTCCTCTATTCTTATATGTAAGGGTCTGGTAGTTTTTCCTATGTAATTTAAACCGCAAGGGCATCGTATGATATAAATTAAATTTTTTGAGTGACATGTAATAAATTCTTTGATTTGATATTCCTCACCTTCATTGGTTGCAAACTTTTTGATTTGTCTTTTTTTATTATTTGTTCTTTTACAGGCTAAACATTGTCCGCATCCATAAAACCCCTTTTCTGAATTCAAAAATGTAATATTGTTTTTAGGTTTTTCTTTTATATAGCTTGATGTTAGGGAATCTTTTAGGTTATTAATTCCCCTATGTATAAAATGAGGCTGGTCTGGCAGAAAAGTTTTTAGAGCTGGGTCTTGGAGTAAAATAGGCCAGTATCTAGACACTATTTTTCTGACTTTATAATTCTCAGAGCTGTAAGTGCATATGAAGGGTATTTTCCCCATTTCATCTGTCTGTTTTTCCTTATATTTTATAAGGTCTTTTCTTTCTCTTTCTTTAATTTCTAATCTTGATTTTTCTAATTTAGATTCTTCATATCCTTTTTCTAGGAAGTCTTCTTTAATTTTGATAGACTGTACATTAAATGTTTCTATATCAGTGCAATTTCTTCTTATCCTCAAGAATTGTCCTTTAGGAGCATTTTCTAACCATGGGGAAAAATGGCAACTTTCTCTGCCTATAAAGCTGTTTGCTTCCACTGCTTTGAAATGATTTTTCGTTTTAATTAAATTATTTTCAATATATATATGTAGGTCTAAAAAGATTATTTCTTGTTTACTCCAAGTGGAGGTGAATCGGATCCCCCATGTATTATCATTCATATGGTTTAAAAAGGAGGATTTATAGCTCAGAAAATTGTGAGTTGCCACTTGGCCCTTACTTTAAAATTATTTCCACCTATTTACATACAATCTGCACTATGTTATGTATTTTTTCCATTTTTTTACCTTAAGGTCAACAAAGAATAACTGATTAATATAGAAGAAAAATTGGGTAAACTTTTTTATTCAATTCTGCACATAAGCGCTACACCGTTACTACCTACTACTTTCTATCACTCTTGTTTAAAAGATTCTCACGGTGGTTAGCAGCTGCTTGGATTATATATAAATTTTAAGATATTATACTCAAATAGCGCTGATACTTTCCTGTTTTATCTATTGTCCGAAGTATTTCTATCTTTTTTACTTCTGTATTAAGCTGCTAGAGTTTTCAAATATGTCATTATTCGATAAAAGAAATAACATGCATTTGGATATGGAAACTGAATTTGCCAACTGGGAAGAACAACCTATAAATAGAAAGAAAAGAGACTATGATAACCATACTGATAAATTAGAGAAACTACTACAGAAAGAACTAAAAATAAAATGGGAAGTGGCTACATTAGAAAAATATCTGAAGGAAGGCATTACCCCACGAGGGTTGAGATATTTTAAAATGCCCACCTTTGATAAAGAGATTACAAGTTTTATGAATGAATGGAACATCATGTTAGAAGGATTTGCCATTAATACCATAAATTTAATTGTTAAAAGACGAAAAGAAAATCTAAAAGAATTAGACATAGAAATAAGTAAATGTCAGAACGACATACTAAACGCTCTAAATCAAGAGGAGTTTAATGAGGCTACTCAAGAAATAAAAGAGAATTTAGACAAATTAGAAAAAGAAGTAATTGAAACTAAAAAAAGTAAGTATTACAGAGATGTTAGAGACTACAAAACCAATCAAGTAAAAAGTTTCTCTAAATACAACCACATAGAGAATATTAGCAAAAGGAGAGAAGAGACACAATTTCAAGAGAGAGAATTTAAAAGACAGGAATATAGAAAAAAAAACCCCATAAGAAGAATACAGACACCCAAGAGAAACAAAGATATAAAAACTAGAGAAAATTATGACAACTCTCCCAACAATCATAGATATCGTCACCAAAATCCTCTCACATACAAAATTTGGGAAAATAGGAAAATTCCCTATTGGCAACAAAAAGAACAAAAAAGGAGGGATCACTATGACAGAGAGAGATCAGAAAGAAGAAGACCCTATAGGAATGAAAAACGAGAAAGAAGATATGAACAGAGACAAGAGAAAGATAGATACAATACCAACTATCAATACAATCGTTATAGAATAGAAGAACCAATTAAAGCAAGCAACCGATTCCAAATATTAGATGAATACGAAGATCAGGATTTTTGGAAGAGCAAGGGCAGAGAAAGACACAAACGGGAGGAAGAAAATCCAAACACAACTCATTTAAAAAGAAGAAGATTTTCGAGTCTAGAGGCACAAGAGGAGGAAAACACACCCAAGAAAGAAAGAAGAGAAAGGATATTCAGAAATCCACATCTATGAAAGGAATACACAATTTAAGTAATAGGGTCCTCACAGAAGATCAAAAGAAGATTCTAAATAAAGGCCTTAAATTCGCACCAAATAAACCCTTAAATCAATTTGAATTTTATGTAGACTTGAACAAATTTAAAAGAAATTTATGCCTAAAAAAATTCTTCTTGAAAAACCCAATAGAACAACAAGTCAATACAGAATATAAAACTTACACAGAATTAAGACAAAAATCCCTTTTTTACCCAAAACATATGATTTCAGAAAAAATGACCACGTTTGAAACAATGGTAATAACAGAAATAAAAAAATTGGGTAAGAAAGAAGATTCTCATAAAAAGTTTAATGAAAATTTAACGATAAAAGAAAGAAAGGCATTAAAAGAACTAAAAGAAGATTCAGACCTAATTATAAAACCCGCAGATAAGGGAGGAGGGATAGTACTAATGTCCAAAGAATTTTACCAAAAAGAGGCAGAGAGAATTCTAAAAGATGAAAGCACGTATAAAAGATTAAATAATGACCCAAGCAATGAAATAAAAAATGTCTTTACCACATATTTCAACAAAGGGTTAGACTTGGAAATTCTAAACCAAAAAGAATTTAATTTTTTAAATAACCCATTCCCAAAGATTCCTGTCTTTTATTTTTTACCTAAAGTCCACAAGGATACGACTAACCCCCCTGGAAGGCCTATCGTGGCAGGGATTGACTCTGTGTCTAGTAGACTGTCACAATATGTAGATATACACCTACAACCTATAGTCAAAAAGACGAGGGCGTATATAAAAGATACCATAATGGTCTTAAAACTTTTGGATAGTTGTGAGTGGGATGAGAACTGCATCTTGGTTACGTGTGATGTAACCTCTTTGTATAGCAACATCCCACACAACTATGGAAAAGAAGCTGTCAAACATTTTCTAGACAACCACTCAGACCTTATCCCAACCAAAATTGAATTTATCATGGAAGGAATAGAATTAATTCTAACCAAAAACTTTTTTTGGTATGGGGAAGAATTTTTTCTCCAGACTAAGGGAACGGCCATGGGGACCAAGTTTGCCCCCAGTTATGCAAACCTCTTTATGGCCCATTGGGAAAATTCGTTCATATATGGGCAACATGACTGGGGAAGAAACTTGGTCACCTATGGCCGTTATATAGATGACGTGTTTTTTATATGGAAGGGGAGGGAGGAAGATCTCTCCTCCTTTTTAAACCATATGAATGATAATACATGGGGGATCCGATTCACCTCCACTTGGAGTAAACAAGAAATAATCTTTTTAGACCTACATATATATATTGAAAATAATATAATTAAAACGAAAAATCATTTCAAAGCAGTGGAAGCAAACAGCTTTATAGGCAGAGAAAGTTGCCATTTTTCCCCATGGTTAGAAAATGCTCCTAAAGGACAATTCTTGAGGATAAGAAGAAATTGCACTGACATAGAAACATTTAATGTACAGTCTATCAAAATTAAAGAAGACTTCCTAGAAAAAGGATATGAAGAATCTAAATTAGAAAAATCAAGATTAGAAATTAAAGAAAGAGAAAGAAAAGACCTTATAAAATATAAGGAAAAACAGACAGATGAAATGGGGAAAATACCCTTCATATGCACTTACAGCTCTGAGAATTATAAAGTCAGAAAAATAGTGTCTAGATACTGGCCTATTTTACTCCAAGACCCAGCTCTAAAAACTTTTCTGCCAGACCAGCCTCATTTTATACATAGGGGAATTAATAACCTAAAAGATTCCCTAACATCAAGCTATATAAAAGAAAAACCTAAAAACAATATTACATTTTTGAATTCAGAAAAGGGGTTTTATGGATGCGGACAATGTTTAGCCTGTAAAAGAACAAATAATAAAAAAAGACAAATCAAAAAGTTTGCAACCAATGAAGGTGAGGAATATCAAATCAAAGAATTTATTACATGTCACTCAAAAAATTTAATTTATATCATACGATGCCCTTGCGGTTTAAATTACATAGGAAAAACTACCAGACCCTTACATATAAGAATAGAGGAACATGGCCGTAATATAAGTAAAGGATTCGAGAAACATAGTGTGTCTCTACATTATAAAAACCATCATGACTGCGAATTACAAGGAACTATATTTTTGGGAATTAAGAAAGTAACTAAAGATTGGAGAGGAGGAGATTTCAATCAAAAATTAAGTAAGATAGAAATGGAATGGATATTCAAACTAAATAGTCTGATTCCAAATGGTCTAAATGCAGACTTCGAAATGTGCCATTTCCTCCTCTAAACTTTAAAATAAGGGTTTTTTAAAAATAAAGGTTTAAATAAAGTTTTAATCTATTGTACACTAAACTAAGATTCTATACTAAAAATAGAAATAAAACGTCTTTCAGATAGATATATATTCCATATTCTATAAAATAATTGGTTTTTATTCAACCCCAGTCTGTACAATGTCTTTTATATTGATTTTATATCAATTTCAACCAGGGTAACTTTTTTCTATTTTTTACTCTTTAAATTACAATTCTCTACAATAATAGATACTTTTTAGCTCTCACCCTTGAAGTTTTATTCCTCTGCAATGATCATTGTATTGTCTTACTAATGTCTAATGTAAGACTACATTAGTAATTACAAAAGATATATAAAGCCAAGTATTACCCACAAATAATTCTTTGTATAAGGAGAATAGCAAATTGTCCGTACAATATGAATTGAATGTGAACAGAATGTACCAATTTAGAAGTATAACAACTGTTTACATGTCCTTTAAATCTATTTTTAACACCTATAACGGAGAGAAAACAGACCGGAGTGCAATAACCACAGTGGAACGCACTGTGGAACGCATGGCTATGAAAACTGCCGAAACCGGAAGTGACGTATCGGCTGAGAAAGAGGAAACAGAAACCAGAATGAGGCTTGGAACGCAGGGTATCTCCGTTACCATGGAGAATACCCGCGAAAATCCAAGCATTAACAGCTGTTTCTACAAACGAAGAAGGGTATTTAAAGCAGGAGAAGAGGTCCAGGAGAATATCACAGAATTTAACCAGCTGAAGAAGCCACCTGGCGAAACGCGTTCTGGAAAGCGAAGTGAGCACTGAAAAACTTCATTTTGGACTTTATTGGACTTTATTTCAGCCATATAAGTGTTTTATTTATTTATTTATTTTTTCGATATATATATATATATTTTTATAATGTGTTACAATTTTATAGTCAATAAATGAGATATATTTTTTAATACACTTATGGCTTTTTCCTGCTAATTGAAAGAAGGAGTGTGGTCCTTAAACCACATATGCGCATTGAAGTGAGCCTATAGACTGGCTCTGGGTTTGTGAGTACCAAATTTACTATTTTAAAATTCTCATAATAATACCAACTATACTACACTATATACCCCCTCCTGTATCCATATAGGACTAGATCAAAGAAAGGAGAAGAAGGGAGAGGGTCGCCTATACGGATCCTAAAGCACCTAATTCTGAGCTAGATTTATAGCTCAGAAAATTGTGAGTTGCCACTTGGCCCTTACTTTAAAATTATTTCCACCTATTTACATACAATCTGCACTATGTTATGTATTTTTTCCATTTTTTTACCTTAAGGTCAACAAAGAATAACTGATTAATATAGAAGAAAAATTGGGTAAACTTTTTTATTCAATTCTGCACATAAGCGCTACACCGTTACTACCTACTACTTTCTATCACTCTTGTTTAAAAGATTCTCACGGTGGTTAGCAGCTGCTTGGATTATATATAAATTTTAAGATATTATACTCAAATAGCGCTGATACTTTCCTGTTTTATGGAAAGTACAATGTCCCTAAAGCAATAAAAAAAAAAAAAAGATAGTTAAAAAAAAAAAAAAGACTAAACATTGCAACAATAAACAGTAAAAACACAGCTTTCAGAATCATTGTTTGATAATGGCTCATATGTCATGCACACATTAACCTTTTAACTGATTGATGACCGCGATAAATTCTAAGGGGGTCATTCTCCTAAATTGAGAAAAAAGGTTTTTTTTTCCTGCTACTTTTTTTGTCTAAAGTTTGCAAGTTATGAAAAAACAAACAATAATCCTTGTTTACACCTACTGTCCTTAAAGGGTTAAAAGTCATTTTAATCTCAAGCAAAAATTAAATACTTATACAGTGGTATGTATGTAAGTATTATACTTGTAGAGTATTTCTATTTTTCCATTTTTAATTTTAAGATTTTTTTTTCTATGTAAACATAGGCTGTTAACACTTTCTGTATATAAAATCAGAATACATTTTATTTTGGGGGGGGGGGGGATTTAAGAGCACATGATCTCAGCAAATAGATAAAGTGAACATTTGTATAAAATTGATGTAGTTAATGCAGAATGAGGATTTCCACTTTAACCAGCTTTATTGAGAAGACCAGAATGGAGCTCAGAGGAGTCAGGTTAGTATCAGACTGTTAAAATATAGTTTGACTATTTACCTTGGGATAGTGGCAGGGAATATTTGTTTCACATTAACATTTAAATTTTTTTGCATGCTCCTTCTTGTGTGCTGGATTAATAAAAAATATTATATTTTTGTATTCGGTGTGCTCCCATGTCATGGTGTGACTCCTGGTGCCATAACTAGTATGGGGGGCTTCCTAAATTAATTTATTAGTACTGTTTAATGCAATGCATATACAGTCAAAGCTGGTCCACAGAGACTGGAGAGGCTGAGCAAATAACCATGTCAAAATATGGAGTATGATAT